ATTTTCCTTCCTCATGATGCCATCTATTTTGTGAAGTGCACCAGTCCCTCCTGCAGCAAAGCACCCCCACAGCATGATGCTGCCACCCCCGTGCTTCACGGTTGGGATGGTGTTCTTCGGCTTGCAAGCTTCCCCTTTTTCCTCTAAACATAATGATGGTCATTATGGCCAAACAGTTCTATTTTTGTTTCATCAGACCAGAGGACATTTCTCAAAAAAGTACGATCTTTGTCCCCATGTGCAGTCTCAAACCGTAGTCTGGCTTTTTTATGGCGGTTTTGGAACAGTGGCTTCTTCCTTGCAGAGTGGCCTTTCATGTTATGTCGATATAGGACTCGTTTTACTGTGGATATAGATACTTTTGTGCCTGTTTCCTCCAGCATCTTCACAAGGTCCTTTGCTGTTGTAATGGGATTGATTTGCACTTTTTGCACCAAAGTACGTTAATCTCTAGGAGACAGAATGCGTCTCCTTCCTGAGCGGTATGACGGCTGCGTGGTCCCATGGTGTTTATACTTGCGTACTATTGTTTGTACAGATGAACGTGGTACCTTCAGGCGTTTGGAAATTGCTCCCAAGGATGAACCAGACTTGTGGAGGTCTCCAATTCTATTTCTGAGGTCTTGGCTGATTTCTTTTGATTTTCCCATGATGTCAAGCAAAGAGGCTCTGAGTTTGAAGGTAGGCCTTGAAATACATCCACAGGTACACCTCCAATTGACTCAAATTATGTCAATTAGCCTATCAGAAGCTTCTAAAGCCATGACATCATTTTCTGCAATTTTCCAAGCTGTTTAAAGGCACAGTCAACTTAGTGTATGTAAACCTCTGACCCACTGCAATTGTGATACAGTGAATTCTAAGTGAAATAATCTGTCTGTAAACAATTGTTGGAAAAATTACTTGTGTCATGCACAAAGTAGATGTCCTAACCGACTTGCCAAAACTAGAGTTTGTTAACAAGAAATTTGTGTAGTGGTTGAAAAACAAGTTTTAATGACTCCAACCTAAGTGTATGTAAACTTCCGACTTCAACTGTATACAAAGTATGTGGATACCCCTTCAAATTAGTGGATTCAGCTATTTCAGCCACACTCGTTGCTGACAGGTGTATAAAATTGAGCACACAGCCATGCAATCTCCATAGACAAACATTGGCAGTAGAATGGCCTTACTGAAGAGCTCAGTGACATTCAACATGGCACCGTCATAGGATGCCACCTTTCCAAAAAGTCAGTTTGTCAAATGTCTGCCCTGCTAGAGCTGCCCCGGTCAACTGTAAGTGCTGTTATTGTGAAGTGGAAACGTCTAGGAGCAACAACGGCTCAGCCGCGAAGTGATAGGCCACACAAGCTCACAGAACGGGACTGCCGAGTGCTGAAGCGCGTACCGCATAAAAATCGTCTTTCCTTGGTTGCAACACTCACTACCGAGTTCCAAACTGCCATTGGACTCTGGAGCAGTGGAAACACGTTCTCTGGATTGATGAATCACGCTTTACCATCTGGCAGTCTGATGGATGAATCTGGTTTGGCGGATGCCAGGAGAACGCTACCTGCCCCAATGCATAGTAACAACTGTAAAGTTTGGTGGAGGAGAAATAATGGTCTGGGGCTGTTTTTCATGGTTTGGACTAGGCCCCTTAGTTCCAGTGAAGGTAAATCTTAACACTACAGCATACAATGACATTCTAGACGATTCTGTGCTTACAACTTTGTGGCAAAAGTATGGGGAAGGCCCTTTCCTGTTTCAGCATGACAAAGCCCCCGTGCACAAAGTGAGGTCCATACAGAAATTGTTAATTTTACACAAATTATCATTGGGTCAGTGCAACTGGAGTTTTTTTGTACAGTAATATCCTCCTCCAGGCTAGATGGACGTCATATTGTACAATTTGTGTCTCGCCTTTTGGTAGGCCTAGATTAGATGGATTCATTCAAGACAAGGTCATTTTTTATTGATCTGTTTGTCAGTGTCAGCAGAGTAGGGTGCCTTCGGAAAGTATTCAGACCCCTTGACTTTTTCCACATATTGTTACATTACAGCCTTATTCTAAAATAGTTTTTTTTTTAAAGATAATCACAATCTACACACAACACCCCATAATGACAAAGTGAAAACAGGTTTTTAGAAATTTTAGCAAATGTATAAAAAACAAAACTGAAATACCTTATTTACATAAGAATTCGGACCCTTTGCTATGAGACTCGAAATTGAGCGCAGGTGTATCCTGTTTCCATTGATCATCCTTGAGATGTTTCTACAACTTAATTGGAGTCCACCTGTGGTAAATTCAATTGATTGGGCATGATTTAGAAAGGCACACACCTCTCTATATAAGGTCCCACAGTTGACAGTGCATGTCAGAGCAAAATCAAGCCATGAGGTTGAAGGAATTTTCCGTATAACTCCGAGACAGGATTATGTCGAGGCACAGATCTGGGGAAGGGTACCAAAAAAATGTCTGCAGCATTGAAGGTCCCCAAGAACACAGTGGCACAGTTGACAGTGCATTCTTAAATGGAAGAAGTTTGGAACCACCAAGACTCTTCCTAGAACTGGCCGCCAGCAAAACTGAGCAACCGGGGGAGAAGGACCTTGGTCAGGGAGGTGACCAAGAACTCGATGGTCACTCTGACAGAGCTCTAGAGTTCCTCTGTGGAGATGGAAGAAAGATGGCTTCGGTACAAGTCTCTGAATGTTCTTGAGTGGCCCAGCCAGAGCCTGGACTTGAACCCGATCTAACATCTCTGGAGAGACCTTGAAATAGCTGTGCTGCAACGCTCCCCATCCAACTTGACAGAGCTTGAGAGAATCTGCAGAGAAGAATGGGAGAAACTCCCAAATAGAGGTGTGCCAATCTTGTAGTGTCATAGACAAGAAGACTCAATGCTGTAATCGCTGCCAAAGGTGCGTCAACAAAGTACTGAGTAAACGGTCTGAATACTTATGTAAATGTTATATTTCCCTTTTTTATATTTTATACATTTGCAAACATTTCTAAAAGTGTGTAGATTGATGAGGGAAAAAACAATTTAATCAATTTTAGAATAAGGTTATAACGTAACAATGGGGAAAAAGTCAAGGGTTCTAATTACATTTTCAAATTAGTGGATTCTGCTATTTCATCCACACCCGTTGCTGACAGGTGTATAAAATCGAGTACACAGCCATGCAATCTCCATAGACAAACATTGGCAGTAGAATGGCCTTACTGAAGAGCTCAGTGACTTTCAACGTGGCACCTTCATAGGATTCCACCTTTCCAACAAGTCAGTTCGTCAAATTTCTGCCCTGCTAGCGCTGCCCCGTCAACTGTTAGTGCTGTTATTGTGAAGTGGACATGTCTAGGAGCAACAATGGCTCAGCCGCGAAGTGATAGGCCACACAAGCTCACAGAATGGGACCGCCGAGTGCTGAAGCACGTAAAAATCGTCTGTCCTTGGTTGCAACACTCACTACAGAGTTCCAAACTGCCACTGGAAGCAACTTCAGCACAATAACTGTTTGTCGGGAAGTTCTTGAAATGGGTTTCCATGGCCGAGCTGCTGCACACAAGTAATGCCAAACGTCGGCTGGAGTGGTATAAAGCTTGCCGCCATTAGACTCTGGAGCAGTTGAATTGCGTTCTCTGGAGTGATGAATCACCCTTCACCATCTGGCAGTCTGAAGGACGAATCTGGGTTTGGCAGATGCCAGGAGAACGCTACCTGCCCGAATGCATAGTGGAATAATGGTCTGTTTTTTTTTCATGGTTCGGGCTATGCCCCTTAGTTCCAGTGAAGATCAATCTTAATCCAACAGCATACAATGACATTCTAGACGATTCTGTGCTTCCAACTTCGTGGCAACAGTTTGGGGAAGGCCCTTTCATGTTTCAGCAGTGACTTGCACAGAGCCCTGACCTCAACCCCATCGAATACATTTGGGATGAATTTGAAGGCCGACTGCGAGCCATGGTCTGTGCCCGACCTCACTAATGCTCTTATGGTTGAATGGAAGCATGTCCCCTCAGAAAATGTTCTAACATCTAGTGGAAAGCCTTCCCAGAAGAGTGGAGGCTGTTATAGCAGCAAAGGGGGGACCAACTCCATATTAATGGCCATGATTTTGGAATGAGATGTTAGTCGAGCAGGTGTCCACATACTGTTGGTCATGTAGTGTATAAAGTGTAGTAGAATTGCATGAAATGTGTTTATCAAAGGCCACATTTTCCCGTGCAAAGGAAAGCAACATTTCTGATATAGCCTATAGGCCTATGCCACTATGCACTCAGCCATGCACAGTGATTAGATTGAGTTATATTAATAGCCTAATAAATTATGACTATCCAAACTACTCATCACATTAGGAATAATAGGCTTACATTAGGAAAAAAAATTATGTGACAAAATTGCTTCCCAAAACTTGAAACTCACGCGCAGCCTATGAGGGAGATGCATGCTAATAGTTAGACTACAAGTTATTTAGCTAGCTAATGTTGGGCTAACTTAGTGTCTTTCCTGCCTTGTTAGAGCAGCTAAATACTGCACAGAAATTGACCATGGTGATGAATCAACTAGTTTTAGGCACTGTTATCATGTAGCTTGGGGTAACCACTCAGCTGTTTTTGTCAGAGGATTGATGCGGTGGTCTTCTAACATGGCTGCCAGGAGGCGTCCTACGTCACCTGGCAACCCTCTATAAGAAAGAGTTCAAAATCTCTCTGCCAATATCATCTAGTTTTCAGTTTTCCTCTCCCAACACAGACAGTGTAGCAAAGTTCTTGTTTGAGAAATTGTTCTTTGCTAAGAAGCTATTTGTTTATTTTTACCATTTTAATTTAAAACAATCACGGTAAGGTACTTAATTGTGACCCAGAAATGATATGATACTGAGATAAAAATGACTGAATTGGACCTATAAAAACAGGCAATATGGTGATCAGTTGACTCTAAAAAGTTTGTACTGTTTGCTTCTGTTAACCACATTTTAAGGAAATATCTTTGTCTTTCTGACAGGGATTCTTCAGAAGGACCATCAGACTGAAGTTGGAATATGACAACTGTGACCGACACTGTAAAATACAGAAGAAGAACCGCAACAAGTGCCAATACTGTCGCTTCCACAAGTGCCTTGCTGTGGGCATGTCCAACAACGGTAAGAACTTAGTCAGTCCCTGAGTGTCCCAGTATATAATAGTATATAAAATAGTCGTGTAATAAAGCTCGCTAGACCACCCGAGAGGTGGGGCAAGTACTGGATTGAGCAGAGTAGCGTTACTCTGCCACCACCTTTGTTTGACTGGTATGGTCCAGCTTCAGAGGATAGGACACACCAAAACTCAACACAGAAATAGCAAACAATGATTTTTATTAGCTACAAAATTTCATAAGGCAGCGTGCATGAAATGCTAGGCGACCTACTGAATTCCTGCAGTCTCTGTAACCCAATCAGAAGGCTGCAATGAGCCGAAGAAGGTGTAAGGCACACAGGCTATTAAGTGCGATAACTTGCTAAAAAGTGAAGCTACACACACACACTAGTGAGGTATATGGTTAAGGAGAACTGAACATCCAAGGTTCTACTACTACTTCACTGCAAACTTGGCATATCCCAATGAAACACAATTGTACAAACATGCAAATTCACTGCACACAGGGGCATAATAGCCTACACACGGACCCACACCTGATAATAAAGTCATAGAACCCCCCACTTTGAGCTATGCACTGCAATCCCTGTTCTGTCCGCCCCACATAACCCATTTAACAAGACTAGGCCAATGAAAGAGGACCTAGACATAACACTGAACATTTAAATGTAACATTTAAAAACACTTAGCTCTCCTAGCTGACGGACCCCCCATGGGGCAGGGCGTGTGCACCACCGTTGGGCCGGTCGGAGTGGCAGACCGGCAGTGGATATGTATTCAAGGTGCACTGAAAAGGCTACAAACTGGACAGGAATAACAACTAGGCTATACTCGGATTCAGGTTGATCGCCGTTGTCATGACTCTCCCTGGGTGAGGATCAAAGGCCTCATATCAGCTTGGCAAATGGCCGACAACAACCAGACTCTCTTACCCACAGGGGGCTGTGCCGGTCTTGACACCTTAATACTGCCATAAATTAGAGAGGAGGAGAATCTATCTCTGACGTTCTAGTCTGGTGAAAGGAATGCCTTTGTTTCAGATACTTTTTGCCGCCCAAAAACTTCAACATCCAACAATGAACATTGGGACAATATATTTCAACATCCAAACGTTGGGAATGATGAGAAATGGAATATAGAAAATGAATGTCTATTTTGTGATGTCATAAAAATTTTATAAAGGCGTTACAACGAAAACATTGTGACTTGAAGAGCTTTTACACTGTGTATATCAGGTATACATCCTTTACCTTGGGTAGAAAATATCAAGGAGGAAGACAATGTTTTCGTGAAGATAGGAATGTGATTTTAGCTTTCTAACAAAATCATAGTGATGATAATACTTTTGCCTCGTAACTAGCCAGGGAGCTCAGAGAGCATGTCAGTATGACGGAAACGCCCCTCTTTAGAGTCTACGACTTTCAGAATGAGACTGATATGAGGTAAATTATTAATAAATGACTGTTAAATGATAAGAGATATCTAGATATCTTTAGAGTTAATTCGGGAAACGGTAACTCGTTAAACAACTTTTCCCATGGTTCCCCAAATTCCTAATGAGTTAATTGTTATATGATTAATTTAATCTAGTAACAATTAAACATAGTAGGTAATTATTCGATAAATAATAGTCATCACAATAATGAGTCACGTCACGACACCGTAGGTTTTAGCCTGATGAATTACATAGAACAGAGGAGTGCACAAATCTTATGTTTGTGCTTTTCTAGTAACCAATTTCTGTGTTCTTTGTTTGACGACCAGACCCTTGTTTTTAGAACGAAAGATATCTCAGTTTCAAGGTCTAAGCTTAGAGAGAAGAAGCCTCGTGAGGTATTGGTCTGTCACATGTGTCATAACTCTCTCCTTGGTGAGGATCAAAGGTGCCAGATCAGCTTGGCAAATGGCTGACAGATAGCCAGACCCCCCCCGTCAAAAACTTCCGCACCTTTGACCCCGTTCCAGGTAAGCCAAACGACGCTGAGACATAGAGTATGCATTGGATGGCTACCCGAACGCTACGGGTTCTGACATGCTTTACCTGTTGAAGTGAACGTCGAATAGACACGTGACAAGGTTCATTCGTCTACAACAGCAACACGTGCAAAACGACTACGCTAAACTTGCCACGGCTTTGAAAAAAGTATTCAGTGGTTCTGCGACTCACAAACATGACAGCTCACTGGCTAACACTGTCAAACAAGCTCGGAATGAACACCCACAAGCTTACTATCATAGCCTTCATTCAGCTTACTTTGGTCTACTCACTGAAACAGGAATGGACGAGCTATTACCATTCAAACGAATGTTTCTGTCGAACATGTATTCCACCTTCATTACCTACTTACCTACACCCCACGTTGGTTTGCCAATCTCAGACCTCAGAAGGCTTGCAAGCACAGCTTTTGAGGCATCAAAAGTGCGCAAATCTAAGAGCCCTGTAATCTCGGGTTTGAAGATTGATCAGGAGCACTCACTCCAGTTACAGAGTGCATTATCAGGTATTGAAGCGTTGAGTGATGACGCACAACAACGGTTTCTACCATGAGACCACGATACCAATACCCACGCGGTCGAAATAACTGTAAAGTACGTCGCCAGGAAAACAACAACCGCTACAATCAACCTGATCGTTACGTTCCTGCACCCAACCCACACAACGTGTCAGAGCACAAGGGTAAAAAAAGGTTCAATGTCGACCAAAACACAGACCGATGCACTCTAGAAGTTCTACTAAGAGAAGAACTAAAGTGAGAAAAATTTGAGAAAAGGGATCAAGTTAAGTCACTATGACTAGACATGGAATTGGCGGAAAACAGGTCCGCCAGAATTAACACCCTTAGCAAGGACGTAAACAATCAAATGACTCCCGCTCTCACTCGAGACCCTATCCAGGGCCCACTCAATCAAGAAACAAGCCCACAGGCTTTGTCTATAGACTCTGATACAAATGTTGCGAATCAAAAGGTAAAAAACATCGCAATAGCCAATGCCACTCAAACCCCGATAAGTCGATCTGTCTTCACCATGAACACATATGACACATCACGTAGTTGCGAACAACCACTCCACTTTGTGGGGAATATGACCACAAAACGCAACTCAAACAGCACATACCTGGAAACAGTCCTGGAGGACTGCTTAACCTGTTATGCGCCAATTAATTCAGGCTCAACAATGTCGCTCATCTCTCAAACGTTGTTAAGTGATCTCAAAATGGCTTTTAACCCAGCTGAACGTTGGTTAAAAACGGAAATATGCGGCATTAAACTTTTGAGGTGTCACTCAGACTACCTCTTCTCTCACATTGAGACTCATGCTGAAACTACACTTCCAAGACGTATCGCTTGTTCACCCTGTGTATGTTACCAGCCTTGAAAGTGAACCCCCGCTACTCAGAGCAGACTTGATGGATCGTTTGATCCCTCTAATGGATTGGAAAAGCAACCAAGTATGGTCACAGGTAACTGTGTCATCTCCACTGACCACACTGTCTTCTCCGAATGCTAGCTGCAACACAGTAATCCACGAGGGGTATCTATCGAAAGGACCCCTTGAAAAAAAAAAAAAAGACGTTTAGTCATTTTTACTTTAATTTTCTTTGACTTAGGAACTGATAGTGCCACAAACAAGTTCCCCATACGACCACCAGTTAGTGACACAACGCCGCTCATTTGGGGAAGAAATGTAATGATGTATTTCGTGAGTGTGTGTGCGTTGTTAACATCTGCCTAAGTTACTGCCCAGATCTACCAGCCTGGACGACCGGGCGACGGGTCCAGAACGGCGATTCCCAACCCGGACATCCCCTGCCCATTCTTGTGGTGGTCTGCAGCTTGCAGAAACCCTACTAGGGTAAACCACCAGATGGGGACCGCAACGATGATCCACAACCAGGACATCCCGTGGTCATTTTTAGGATCAAAGGTGCCAGATCAGCTTGGCAAATGACAGATAGCCAGACCCCCCCTCTCTCCCACAGGAGAGGAGAAGGGGGAGTTGGGCTGGTTTTATGACTTAACAGCCGGTCATAAATAGTTTGCAGAAAAGGACTCATTTTGGTCTCTAGTGTGGGAAGAATTAGATCTTCTTTGTTCCAGAGCCTTTGCTGAGACGTCCAAAAAGTAAACACTGGAACAATATTCCTAACATCCGAATGGTCAGTGGGGATCTAAAGAATAATCATGTCATATTGTTTATTATTTTGTGATGTAATTAAAAACTTTATGAACCAAATACTGTAATTTAGGAAGGACACCCCCTTTATCTGTCAAGTTTCCATCCAATACGTTGTCTATGTGATATGAAAATGGATGAAACTATTTTTGTTAAGATAGGAATGTGATATTAGTCATAAGAGATAATCATATCCTTTGCACAGTAACTAGCCACGCCCCAAGTGCCATCAGCGATCATGTCAGCAAGTAGGAACGCCCCTTTTACCAAGAGTGCATAAAGGCTTGAAAGACAAATTAACATTAGATCAGGAAGCGTGGAGCTATGGATACATGGCTGAAAATGGTTAGACCAGAAAACGTGAGAGTGGCGACTACACTTTTAGAATGGTTAGAACTTTGAATGAGAAAGACCAGCCGACGTGAAGCGCGAGCTCACGTTACAAATGGTTGAACCTCTACAGACCAGCCAACGTGCAGCAGGAGCTTCACGTCGGCTGGAGTTTCTTATCCGAATGAGCGGTGGTTTCCAAATGTAATAACGATAAGTTGAATATCTTTGTCTCTCCCTTTCGCTCTCTTTCTATTGACCCCTCCCTTTTTGATAACCTATACCGTGTGTGTGTGATTATGTATTCTGTGTTATTATTTAGTTAGTTAGTAAATAAATAATTAACCTCTTAAGGATTGGACACTCTTTTAAATTTTCGCCTAAAATGACATACCCAAATCTAACTGCCTGTAGCTCAGGTCCATCATCTTTGAAATGCAAGAGAAGGCCACAATAAAGTATTACCGTTTAGGCGCAATTTAGGTTTTGGCCGCTAGATGGCAGCAGTGTATGTGTGCAAAGTTTCAGATTGATCCAGTGAAGCACTGCAATACTGGACTATTTTGTATCAAGTCTCCCCAAATGTGCAGAATTGGTCAATTGATAAATTTTCAAGTACATAACTATAGAGAACATAAAAAAATGATATGGTAAGTTTACACACGCCCAGGAATGCCAAACATGATGTTCATTAGCTCATACACTAACTTTCACACATCTAGATGGCCGGGCGGTGTCAGTGTGGCGCCAGAGACAGCAGGGGCTCAAACTGTAGAACCCAGTTCCTACATTTGAATATAAAAATTGATTTTATCAAACAAAACTATGCTACATTTTATCTCTGGGACTCTTAGGATGACAAATCAGAGCAAGAGTATTGAATGTAAGTACATTATTTAACTTCAGAGGTGAATGTATCAAACCAGTTACCGTGATATGTTTTTTGTTGTTTTGCACTCTCATCAAACAATAGCATGGCATTTTTTCACTGTAATAGCAACTGTAAATTGGACAGTGCAGTTAGATTAACAAGAATTTAAGCTTTCTGCCCATATAAGACATGTCTATGTCCTGGAAAAGTTTGCTGTTACTTACAACAGTCATGCTAATCTCATTAGCGCACGTTAGCTCAACCGTCCCATATATGGGACACCGATCCCGTAGAGGTTAACCCAATTTGTGTATTGCTAATTCATCAATAAGGTTAGGGTTCTTGCAGGTTCAAGGATTATGCGACGTTCAGAATGAGACTGATGAGGTAATGATTTAATAAGTTATAAATATATAACATATATCATCTAAGAGTTTAATTCGGGAGATGGTAACTCGTTAAACAACTTCTTCCGTGGTGCCCTAAATTCCTAATTAGTTAATTGTTACATGATTAATTTAATCGAGTGACAATTAAACATAGTTAGTGGATTCGATAAATAACAGTCATCACATGAATGCAAGTCACGTCACTGCACATGCATGAACCAGCATTGGTCGGTCACATGATTGAAGCAAACATTAATGATGAATTAATGATGAATGATGAATAAGCTAAATCATGCAAATATAACTTGTCTGCAGTATATAACAGAAATAACGGGACTGCCCCGGTAGAGCTCCTGACAGATGTTCACTATGGTGCATCAAGTTTGTTGGAACCTCTCCAGTTAACTGTTAATAAACAATGATTCATTTAAGATTGACTTTGAGTGTCCCATGTGTAGAATTTCCACGACAAAGCTTAGCCAATTAATTTGCATGTCCAAGAACACGCTACAAAACAGTCTGTTCCCAAAAGCCGGGGAGATGACTCGCACTCCTAGCAACCCCAGTATCTTATCTGGTTTTCCAAATTCACCCTCACTACCTGTCTTCGTTGCCGGCTGCCCTATCCAGCAGCAAACGACAACTTCCCTCCGTTAAAGCGGTCTACAGACAATAGCAAACATTGCCGACGCAGTTTTTTCCTACCTGGAAATTGAGACCTGACGTAATATTCCTTGCGAAGACTGAGGGGCAGTATTGAGTGAGTTTTGCAACGTCTGTGTCTACATCCCATATTTTCCGGTATTTCTTCTGGTATAAACACAGAAGAGATGGACGTTCTGCTACTTCACTACTACTACTTGCAAGCTTCCTTTTTTGTGCTTTTTATTTTTGAGATTTGCTAAGCGGAATTATGTCTATGTCCAGTTTGGAGGAGTGTCTGTGCGAGCTGGTGAGACAATACAATAACCTTTTCAACCCTCTGATGCGGTTGTATTTGGACAAGCAAGCAAATGTCAACAGCTGGAGGGACAAATTACCGATACTGACATCAAATAAACATGGAGAAAGATTCGGGACCGATATGTTCACAATCTGAAAAGGGTGAAGGAGACGAGGAGTGCAGCTGCCGTGGGTGTGTGTCCCACCGATTATCAGACAACTGGGGTTTGGACAGTCCAGAGATTGAGCTGAGCCCTGAGGGCTCATCCCCGGCCACTCTCTCCAACGCCCAGGCCCTTCTCACCAACACCCAACCCACTGTCCAGATGCACCCGTGCTCTCTGCCCTGCAACACCATCAACCTCCACTCCATCTCCCCGACCCAGCTCCAATGGCTGGAAGAGGAAGACAGCTGAGAATCTTTTGGACACTGACATTATGCAGCGGGTGGATGACTTACGTATGTGTGCATCCTTCTGGTCTACCCCACAGCTATCCGGTTTGGTCGGATGCCTCAGTCAGAGAAGTTAAAGCTGAAGGCAGAACGCCAGACGGGGGAGAGAGAGGCGGGAGGAGACCCCAGGCAGGTGGACCACAAGACCCTGGTCAGACAGATCCACGAAGCCTACATGAAGAGCTTCAACATGAACAAGGCTAAAGCACGGGTCATACTGACCGGCAAGACCTGCACACCGGTGAGTGGGAGAATTTCATTACTTTGCTTTAATGAAAACCACACTGTAAATATCCTGTTGTTTTAATGTTACACTAATTGATTTACAGTACCAATAATGCTACTGCAATAATTTTACGGTAACATATTCTTACTGTAAAGGCTAATTTGCATATTTCCCAGAGTGCCTTTCGAATGAATTGTAGAGTTAACATGACTGTACTTGTTAGTGACAGAGACATGGTTGTTGCATTCAGCCATGTTCAGTCCTGTGGCTTTCATCAAGTGAGATCGTAAGCGAATATGTCCTAATTAAAATTCATCCGAACTACGAAACATGAATATTTATAATGTTATCCCCACACCCATACATTTCGCCTAGTGCATGTGTCCAACTCATTCCACGGAGGGCCAAGTGTCTGTGGGTTTTCGCTCCACCCTTGTACTTGATTTGATGACTTAAGGTCACTAATTAGTAAGGAATTCCCCTCACCTGGTAGTCTAGGACTTAGGAGTCTAGGCCCTCCGTGGATTGAGTTTGACACCCTTGACCTAAGCCATTTAAACTGGAACAACCATTTCAGTAACGGGTGCAAAAAATCTAACTCATTGGATTAGTTTAGAAACATGTACGTTATTTATCTTTGTGTAGCATAAGATTAATCATTCAATGTACATACAAAAATGCAGATATTAAAAACTATTCCAAAAAATCTACCTGCAGTAGAGCATGCTGGGAAATCTGATAATGATTACAGATATTTTACAGTAATTTACAGGTAACTGGCTGCCAGTAAGTTACCGTAAACAAAACAGTTTTATGGTATCAATGCCGCTACTGTAATCCATTGACGGTACCATTAATGGTACTGTAATCTATTGTAAGGGAAGGGGAGAGTGAGAGTTGTTTGAATTTAGGCTAAGTGATGGTGCAATTTGCCTAATTTCCACAAGGGGCCTGCATTTTACATGTAGCTCCTATTTTGTGTGTGCTTGGTTTACTTTTAACAAAGTTATTTAGTATTATGATGTGCCTTTCAAATTGTATATTTTTTCTTTAATATAAAACAGCATTGCCACAAAGAAAGCAATGTATATAAACTAACAAAACAGCTTTGATTTGGTTGCCCATGTGCTTTTTGTGTGGCATTCTTTTTGATTGGTAAGTGCACAGCTACTGTGTTTTACATAGCATTTTTTTTACGGTAATGGCCAAAATACATCCAATATTTCCAGTCCGTTAAAAAAAATTCCACAATGCAATGCAATTTACAGTAATCTACTGTATTCATTTTATACAGTATGTTACTGTTGATTATACAGTAATTTACTGTGACAATAAACAAAAAAAAATTGTGTACTACTAGTCATTGACTGCTCACTGGCGCCCATCTCTGGCAGCCTATATCATGCACAACATTTAGGACACGTTTCCTGGACCCAGATTAAGCCTAGAGTTGGGCTAAAACACACTTTCAATGAAGACTTTTTATTGAGAATGATTTTTAATCATGGACTAGGTTTAATCTGGATCCAGGAAACCGGTCCAGAATGTGTAATATACTATACATGACCTAACTATGCTTATAACACTGTATTATGTACTGAACTAGGTTAGTCTTTCTCTCTTCTCTTCTTTCCAGCAGCCTTTTGTCATCCACGACATGGAGACACTCCAGCTGGCTGAGCGGACAGTGATGGCACGGCTGGTGGGTGGAGGAGGTGGAGGAGGTGGTGGTGTAGGCCCAGATGGAGTAGGGTCTGGGCCCGAAGAGCTCCAGGCGAGGGAGGCAGAGGCCAGGCTGTTCCACTGCTCCCAATGATTCTCTGTGGAGACTGTGACAGAGCTCACAGAATTCACCAAGTCCGTACCAGGCTTCCAGTGCCTGGACCTGAATTACCAAGTGGGTGACCAGTGTTAGGATTTGTAGAACTTGATGTATGTGCAATGTGTGGTTCATGTTATGTTGTGTATATTGTATCATATTCCTTGTGAAATGTCTGTTGTTGTTTTATGGATGAATCTTCTACAAAAACAATTTCCGCCTGAGAATAGTTTTCTACTACTTCTACTAATAATAATCTACATTTTCTTCCAGAATTAATTGAAGTTAACTGGCATTGATTGACCCCCATACTCTGCAGGTGACTGTTGAAGTACGGGGTGTACGAGGCCCTCTTCACCCTCCTGGCCTCCTGTATGAACAAAGATGGCGTCCTGGTGGCGAGCGGAGGAGGGTTCATTACCCGGGAGTTCCTCAAGAGTCTATGGTGGCCCTTCAGCGACATGATGGAGCCCAAGTTCCAGTTCGCCATGAGGTTTAACTCCTTAGCGTTGGACGACAGTGACCTGGTGCTGTTCGTGGCCACTATCATCTGCTGTGAAGGTAAAATACAAAACACAGACCCTTTTGACTATGGTGCAGCTATGGCGGATGCATAGCTAGGCCAATGCAGTACACTGTAAAAAAAAAAAAAAAACTATTTGGATCAAACTAAAAAAATTGTTTCAACTGGTTACAATAAACCAATTTGGTTATTGAAAATATATTTCACAGCGGATTAGATGGTACAATGATTATTTACACTGCTGTATACATTGCTTGTATACAGAAAATAATATTTCCTGTAAATAAAACCCATTTTTTATCTTGCTCCAATTCTATTTTTCACTTTGTATCTACCTATCCAAATTACTTCAACTGGGTTACAAGCAATTCTATAAATTCCCCACAAATCAAGAAATTACAGTGGTTCAACAACATGATATAGTGATTCCAAAATGACCTTTGGCGTCTTCAACATAAAACAATCACATTTATTGGCCACAATATTGTAGTCAAATAGTACCTTCTTAACAATGGAAGCCTTAAACAGGCTTTTAAATACCACGTAGAATTATGCAAGAATTTTAGATTCAACGCAGGCAGTGTACAAGCCTAAAGCTTAGCAATGGTGAATACAACAGAACAGATTAACTTGAATGACATCCACTCTGACGGGTGGCGAAAAATAATTACTTAAAGTCACGCCCCATATAAGCCACGTCTTCCTCTTCTGATAGGTTGACGCCACTTCACTGCCCCATCGCAATGCAATGTGCATCTGCTTGTGTTGAAAGCGATTTAGTAACTTTCATTCAATTTAAAACACCACATTGAACTGTCAATTAATTGTTTGACTTTTAAAAAATGAATAGGTTAAACAAACCAAAGTCTATACCAATCAGCATTCCTCTTCCAGAGTGTATCACGTGCACTTATGCAAGGACAAATAATATATATTATATTAAAGTGATGAATAAGGTAGACCATATTCACAAGAATGACATTCACTCTGACGGGTGCGCAAAAAGAACAATCTGAAAGCCCCCAAAAAACCATGCCTCCAACTCTTCCAATAGTGTGCAACTGCAGCCCGCAATTCAGTGCATTCCTGCATGTGGGCATTCCTGTGAGACTTTTGAATGTGGGTCAAAAGGGAAATAATAGTATTATCTGAGTTTTTTCACCCCCGCCTAGAGTCCTTGCTAGCTAGCAGAAGTGACACCGGTATCCAATGTCCTTCACTCCCGCCTGCCAAACACCTGCTCTCGCCATTGATAACAGAACTACGGGAAAACAGTGCCCGACAGGCGGGGGCGAAGGACACTGTCTTCCAGTGTATGTTAGCTATCCGTTGTCACCCCCCACCCCTTCTTCTGTGGGGTTTATCCGTGGCTGGCATCCAACGCTATTGTGCATTAATACCACCTACTGTACTGGAGTGCTCCCCGCCTCCCGCCTGTCCTAACTTAAAAATTGACCAATAGAAGTATAAAGAGAGGTTCCTGCAGATGCAGGAATGCCCAATTGCAGGAACGGCTCAATGCGTGCCGCAGTTGCACACTTCTCAACTCTTGTAATAGGCTGCCGCCACTACATTGCCCCCACCGCTATTCAATGCGCATGCACATGAGGTATGGAAAGTAATTTATATATTTGATTTCAGACAAATTGAATAGAATAGGTTTAACAAACCAAAGCGTAATTCCAATCATTCTAATCAGTAAAATCACTTCAGATGAACCATAGCGTTGTCCCACTTTTTGCAGTGTACAGCTCGGCTCGGCTCAGTTATGTGGAAAGTGCTTCTGTACTGTACCATTTAAGTCACATTGTACCATTATAACGTTATCTTACATATTGTATTAATAAATTATTGCTTAATCAAGTATAGGCTTGATTTTAATAACTTAAATGGCATCCTTTTATTTTTTTAGTTTCATTGATCCATCTAACCATGCCATTACAGGGCCATTACTAATCAGACATAACTTGAGTAAAGTCAGATATGGTGTCATAGACCACGTGTACATTGTGCAGAGTATGTGTGCAGAGTATTCCAGATAGTAGCTCATATCCCGCTTAAGGTCTTATTCGGGATAAGCTTTGATATCCCGCTCACAAGTATCCCTGTACCAATGGAAAGTAGCCAGTAGACTATGTGGTCCAGTATGGAATATATGCAAAATAAATTATTATGGAATTATGGTGGATCGAACTACGCAGGTTGCCTACTTTTTTAAGTGATTTGTTTGACAATCAGATGAAAACATCGTCACACAACACCCATAATATGTGAAACTGAGCCTGCGCAGACCATGAAAAACCACAGTAAATGGACAAGATGTTTACATGCCACAGTATCCTTTCTAAAATCAACATATCCCAGGCATTTTATCCGGGTTTCTCATAACCGGGATACAAGCTTTTTCGGGTTATTGTAAACGGGATATATCTTTTTTTTTTAATCTTTATTTTAACAGGGAAAAACAGACTGAGACCTGGATCTCTTTTACGGCTGTGCCCTGTGTAAACATGTTGACATGTACAGTTTTAGACATACAGACAAGAACATTTCAAACATACAAAACAAAAACACAATTCAACAGAAACAATCACAGACAACATCATATTGATCCTCCATAACATTTTTAAAATGGGCAAGGGACACCAGAGTGTCTAACTTAAGTTGGATCTGCAGTTTGTTCCATAAATAAGGTGCAAAGGAACTGAAGGCAGTCCTACCCAACTCTGTGGAGACCACAAAAGTCTCTAATGTAATCCACATCTGTGATCTGGTTTTAAAATTAGTATATCTAGTGGAAATTAAAGATGATATAAATGGAGGTAGTTTTAAAAGAAGTGCTTTATAAATAAACAAGAGAGCATGTTGCTCTCGCCTCACAGATAGAGAGGCCCAACCCACATGTTGATATAGGAAACAGTGATGAGTTTTGTAAATATCACCCGTGATAAACCTGAGTGCACAATGGTAAATAGCATCCAGTGGTTTTAATGTGTTTGCCGATGCATGCATATAGATAATATCACCATAATCTAAAACGGACATAAAAGTAGCCTGCACAATTTGTTTTCTATTTACGGAGGACAGACAAGCCCTGTTTCTGTAAAGGAACCCTATCTTGAATTTGAGCTTTTTTCCCAATTCAGTAACATGTTTTTTAAAAGAAAGCCTATCATCTAACCATACCCCTAAGTATTTATATGCAGAGACCTGTTTGATTTGAGTACCATCCAAGCTAGTGATTACAAAAGTGTTTCTAATTGAGAGTTTAGACCTAGAAAAAAAAATTGGATATGATGTTTATATGCGTCAACTCAAAAACAGAATACTTGAGTATCCCGAATAATAACGGGATATCGGTGTGCATGTAGACGTTGTCATAGTAGTCGATTAATCTCTTCTTTCCCCCTTGAACGTGTCTAATGTAGAGCAGCTCCAGGAGAGCATCGTCCTGGCTCTCCGGCTCCACCTGCTGGCGAACCACCCCGATGACACCTTCCTGTTACCCAAACTGCTGCAGAAATTGGCCGACCTGCGGGAGCTGGTCACAGAGCAGGCTCAGTTGGTCCAGGAGATCAAGAAGACGGAGGACACGTCTCTGCAGCCATTACTGCAGGAGATCTACAGAGACATGTACTGAGAAGGCGGGAGGATGAAGATGATGAAGATAACTTGTGGTGCTGGAATGGACTAGCTAGGAGGGGATGGGTTGGGTTGTGCTGGACTAGGTTGTGTTAGGCTGGGCTAAAATGGACTGTGTTGGACTGGGCTGGTCTGGACCAGTGAAAATAATATGTGCTGCTGTGTGGCTCCAGAGAGGTGCCTGGATGATCCCAGGTGCAAATGCATGGAGCCACTCTTCTAGCCTTTCATGTTAATAGAAATAAGAGTATATGTGTATCCTTGTACAATGTGTTCACCAGCAATTGATCCCCAAATTTTAACAACCACTTATTGTACTGTACAATGGTAATATACAGGGACTCAGAAAAGGAAATATATTACTGTCATAAGGGCAGATGATGTCAGCATTTATTTTTAACCACAAACAAATCCAAGTCTCTGTTAAGCTCCTTGATACTTTATTTTTAAAATATTTCAAGAATTTGAGAGTTAAGGTGAAAGGGACATCTGTATAAAAAAAATTGCATATGCGTGACCCTTCAAATGTGTCTCTCTATATACCACTATCAAAATAAATATGTTGCTCATACCATATTCACATAATCCATCATAAACTACCTGGCAGTTTAGGGTTATGTTTTTAACAAATAAAGTACACTGTGTGTTTTAAACTCTACCATATCATATCTACACTATATTCTAATATTCTAATTTCATCATGACAATATGCAGTATAAGTATTGATTGTGTCTGGTTAATGATATCAATTACCGGTAGGTCCTCTTCTCTATACCTCTCTGTGTATTTGTAGTAACAATGGTTGGTAAATTCAGGACAGGACGATCCGCTGACTGTCCATTGCCTTAGTCCGTTCAGTGACATAGCTAGCTACAATAGATCTCATTAACTTGAAAATGTTTTATCTGAAGTAGTGTTGAAATACTGTAAATCTGATCATCTTTTGCGGTTGTGCAGTGGTTTGCTAGCCAAGGTCTAAGGGAAACTGCTGGAAGACATTGTGATATACACCTAAAATTTGGTGGGGTTATCAACTGTGTTGTTCAGTCATGTGAATTAATCAATTGGATATTGATTAATTTTAAATAAATGATGTAGAATGTTAAAAAGTACATTTCATTGTCTTAGTTTGGTTGTAAAGTAGTACTTTGAATGTCATTAGTATATTAATATATTGGTCTACTGCAGGAATCAACTAACGGAAAAATATGTACTCCTTTTGGAAATAGACAGTTGACCATAGTGAAAATTGACCGCAAAGTACAGAAGGCCTTGACCTCTTGGATGCAGCATTATCCCTCCCGTCCACTACGTGGTGGTAGAACCATGCTGTTGCACACTTCCCACAAATGAAGAAAACAAAGCAGGAAGTAGAACCATGCTCACATTCACAACAATGGAGTCAAGCATAGATGGGGTTCCTCAAAATATGTTTATTTGCCATTTGTGCAGTTTATCTACACCATTCACATACTATGGACAGAAGCCACCCAATACCAGGGCTATTGTGTGAGTAAAGTTTTGATAACAGTAGCGTCGTAGCGAGGTGTGTGAACTCAATATTTGCTCATGCTTACTGGTTAACATGGAATGCAATGCAGTTGGTCCCTGGCTAGTGGCTTCTCTAGAGTCTAGTGGAGTCTCTAGTGGCCCTAGCTAGCTAACTTATAGTGTTGTCTATGACTATGTTAACTGTCAAGTGATGAGGTGTAAAGTAAACCTTTCAGAAGGTTGTAACGTTAGCTCTTGCATTTACTCATCATGTTTTTGTTTCTTTCCATCAGCTTGTTGGAAGAGTGTTTTGTGACCAAGGACCCTTTCAGTCCAGACCGAGAGAGGTTCCTTATCCTGGGATCCAACTGCAGTTTGTGACACATCACAGTTTGTGTTGGAACGGTACGTTGTTTGCTCATATTGCCGAAAATAATGAACATGAAATGGCTGAAATCTGTTCATCATACAATGTATGATGTCAATGTCATAACCTAGAATGGAATGTCCAGTTATTTTATTTTGACTAAGTCACCCTTACGGAAAAAAGTACATTTCTATATATTTAACATCACATAAAATGTATTTCAAATACATGTAGTTACATTTGAAATGTCACATCTTTGCTTAAATGCGTGTAATGCCTTAAAATGTATCCCAGAGATGCATGTACATACACTATATATACAAAAGTATGTGGACACCCCTTCAAATTAGTGGATTCGTCTATTTCAGCCACACCCTTTGCTGACAGGTGTATAAAATCAAGCACACAGCCATGCAATTTCCATACACAAACATTGGCAGTAGAATGGCCTTACTGAAGAGCTCAGTGACATTCAACGTGGCACCGTCATAGGATGCCACCTTTTCAACAAGTAATTTCGTCAAATATCTGCCCTGCTAGAGCTGCCTCGGTCAACTGTAAGTGCTGTTATTGCGAAGTGGACACTTCTAGGATCAACAACGGCTCAGCCGCGAAGTGGTAGGCCACACAAGCTCACAGAACGGGACCGCTGAGGCGCGTAGCACGTATAAATCGTCTGTCCTCGATTGCAGCATTCAATACTGAGTTCCAAACTGCCTCTGGAAGCAACGTCAGCACAATAACTGTTTGTCGGGAGGGTTTCCATGGCCGAGCAGCCTCACACAAGCCTAAGATCACCATGCGCAATGCCAAGTGTCGCTGGATCGGCTGGAGTGGTGTAAAGCTCGCCACCATTGGACTCTGGAGCAGTGGAAACGTGTTCTCTGGAGTGATTAATCTCTATCTGGAAGTCCAACGGATGAATCTGGGTTTGGTTTGGTGGATGCCAGGAGAATGCTACCTGTCCCAATGCATAGTGCCAACTGTAAAGTTTGGTGGAGGAGGAATAATGGTCTGGGGCTGTTTTTCATGGTTCGGGCTAGGACCCTTAGTTCCAGTGAAGGTAAATCTTAACGCTACAGATTAAGATTACATTCTAGACAATTCTGTGCTTTCAACATTGTGGCAACAGTTTGGGGAAGGCCCTTTCCTGTTTCAGCATGACAATGTCCCCATGCACAAAGCTAGGTCCATACAGAAATAGTTTGTTGAGATCCTTGTGGAAGAACTTGACTGGCCTGCACAGAGCCCTGACCTCCACCCCATCGAACACATTTGGGATGAATTGGAACGTCGACTGCGAGCCAGGGCCTAATCGCCCAACATCAGTGCCCGACCTCACTAATGCTCTTGTGGCTGAATGGAAGCAAGTCCCCGCAGCAATGTTACAACATCTAGTGGAAAGCCTTCCCAGAAGAGTGGAGGCTGTTATAGCAGCAAAGGGGGGACCAACTCCATATTAATGCCCATGATTTTGGAATTAGATATTTGACGAGCAGGTATCCACATACTTTTGGTCATGTAGTGTACTTTTCCATCTTTGCTCAAATGCATGTAATGCCCTGACAATATTCCAGAAATGCATGGCTATGACATCTAGTCTACACCCACCAAGACACAACTTTGGCAGTGATATAATTTAAATTGTGATGGTGAGTAAAAAAAAAACGTTTGATTTCACCTAATTTTAACATTGTCATAAAGATCACATGGTCAACTTAATAAAAAACAGGTTTTCCCATCTCAAGAGAGAGAGAGAGGGGAAAAAAATACTGTTGTAAGTGCCCCTCTTAAGCTTAATTAAATAAAGGAAAAAATTGGGCACAAATCAAAACCAAATGTATTTGTAACATGCGCCGAATACAACAGGTTACCGTGAAATGCTTACTTACAAGCCCTTAACCAACAATGCAGTTCAAGAAATAGAGTTAAGAAAATATTTACTAAATAAACTAAAGTAAACAATAAAAAGTAACACAAAATTACATAACGAGGCTATATTCAGGGGGTAACGGTACCGAGTCAATGTGCGGGGGTACAGGTTAGTCCAGGTAGTTTGTACATGTAGGTTAGGGTAAAGTGACTATGCATAGATAATAAACAGCGAGTAGCAGCGGGGGGTCAATGTAAATAGTCTGGGTGGCCATTTGATGAATTGTTCAGCAGTCTTATAGCTTGGGGGTAGAAGCTGTTAATGAGCCTTTTGGACCTAGACTTGGCGCTCCAGTACCGCTTGCCGTGCGGTAGCAGAGAGGACAGTCTATGACTTGGGTGACTGGAGTCTTTGACAATTTTTTGGGCCTTCCTCTGACACCGCCTAGTGTATAGGTCCTGGATGGCAGGAAGCATGGCCCCAGTGATGTATTGGGCCGTACGCACTAGGCTGTTTTCTATTATTTTAATTTGAGTTTTTATCGATTTTAAAGAAAAACGATACATTGTACAACACTCCACAATATGTCTAGGTCTTGTGCTTCCAATTAGATGTACAGGATTGTACTGCTGGATGGTGCGTGGTTAGCGGTGTTATGGTGCGTTCGTAACCAAGTGGGAATTTTCCACATCTGGGGAAAAATCCACTTGAACGGCCGTCCAGCTAGTTAATTACTAGTTAAATCAGCCATGAATTCCCTTGTGACAGGAGGAATGGAAGCGTGTTGTGGGCAACAGGGAGGGGCAATTGTTAAAACATTTCTAGCCTGTCTATCTATGGGTAACAGGGTTGACGTGTTAGAAAATGGCTAAAAAGAGTAGAACCAGCTCACCAGCTTTTACACTATGATTTGACTATTATATGTTCAATGTTTCTTTTGAAATAAATATTTTAAAAGGGAATAGTTTCACCATATTAAAACGAGAGTTCAGTTCACGTAACAGGGTTGACCTTAAAATTAGGTACAGATGTAAATGAATCACAATCACATTAAATAAATAATAATCTTCAGAAATAACTTTGTCAAAGCAATGAAATAACAAAGGCTTTACAATGATGGTGAAAACGTGGAATATTAATGAGGTTACTGGGTTAAAATCTTCCTAGAAATCACAGAGGATGCACGGAGGGACATGTCAAAATGCAGAATATTGAAAATCAGATTTATTGAATTTTCCATGTGGTCTATATTAAAGGGCACGTCATT